CCCCCCTTCCGTCCGTCCCCGTCCGTCCGTCCGTCCTTCCGTCCCCCCGTCCGTCCTTCCTTCCGTCCTTCCGTCCGTCCCCCCTTCCTTCCGTCCGTCCGTCCCCGTCCTTCCGTCACCCCCCGCTCCACGTCTCCTTCTCCGCAACACACCTCTCACTGGAGGCTCCACTTCAGTCCATTCAAATCCTTCCCTAATTGACACTCTGTGAGGAGAGGCAAGGCTAGCCCTGAGTGCACTTCACTGAATATACCAAGGCATGTTCATGTGAATGCTTCCCTGCACAGAAATACATGAATTTTGCTGCTCGCTTGCTCTCCCTCAGCTTTGCGATTCATGTGATGTCGAGTCTCCTCGGGGAGGCAACAAATGTAATTGAAAAAAATAATAAAAATGCAACCAGAAGTAGTATCTAAACGAATATTGCATTGCAAGCAATATTGTTTGAAAAGTAAAAAAAAAAAAAAAAAAAAAAGCAGCAACAACCTCTCCAGAGGCGTCCCGAGGATAATCCTGTAAAACCTTTGGTTACCGTGGAGGAGGCTGCGTTTTTAGCGGCGCAGCACAGCCTGCCGCACAGCTATTGCAAGCATCACTGAGGAAGGTCAAGTCTGGGACCATCTCTCCCCCTCCCTCTGCCCCTCTCTTTTCCTCCCTCCGTCGTCACTACTGAGTAAAACCCACCGCTGTGAGAGACAGACTTGATTAACGATGCATAAACTTCCCCCATCGAGAAACACAAGAAACCGTAGTGCAAGAGGATGCATGTGGCGCCGAGGTCACACACACACACACACACTCTGCTTTGCTTTATCACCAAAATATGAGTAAATATAACTTTCAGTGTGGACTAACTGGATAAAAAGTCACGGCTTTACATGAATCTTACAAATGATAACCTCTTCAGGCCTTCTACAAGCTGCATTATCCCTTAAATATCAAACAAGACCTCTACTTGCTCTAAACATACACAAGGAAATAAATGATGGGTTATGTACTAATCCCAAGTACAGTGAATCTATTCTCCAAAAGAGGCAAACACTGCTCCAACACAGGGTTGAAAGAAGCTGTACGGCCGTGTGTGATGGTGCCATCAGCTCAGACAGCAACTCTCAGAGAAAGAAATACATAATAACCTTTATCTATCTCTGGATTGATGGCTGAGTACGCATGCACTTTCCCTGTGCTGCTCGGCTTCCATATCACACAGTTGTGGACTTTCATACCTGATGGCTGCACAGTTATAAACAATGTTTTCCCATTGTGGGCCATTAAGTACTTTCCCAGTGGCAGTTTGGGCTGAAGTGGAGAGCTAAAGGGTCCTTCAACAGTTGTTGTGGAAGGACGGAGAATATTTGGCATCCAGAATTTTCCCATCCAGTCTGAAGCGGTGCCGGGTGGTAACATATCACTCGATGATGTTATTACATTTGCTGGCAATGGTTAATCATCCTCTTTGAATTTTAGCAGTGATTACTGCTGAATTAAGTTATTCAAGTTACTGTTTTTGTAATCATCTTACCTAGATCCTTTATTTTACGAGATGATAACCTTTGCAACCATTGCTGCAGGTCATATATTTGTGAAGAAACATGTTAATGTGACTTAACATTACCAGCATATTCTAAATACACAGTATATACGTCCTGAACACCAAACGTACACAAACACTCTTGTTGTAAAGTCATCTGTTGGAGCGGATGCTTTTCAATGTCTTTTACTTCCGTGGGCAGTTCTCTATAACATTTTGTCTGTAAGAGAGCAGAGCAAAGAGCTGCATCTTATGCTGTATGGCATGACTGGTGGTAACCTTGTGGAAACATGGAAAAACTGAGAACTCTGAGAGCAGGCAAAAAAAACCTGGTCCGCCCTAAAGGGCCTTTACCCACAAAGACTTCACTCTTCCAAACCAGCTTATCCTCAGCACAGAATAACCAAGTTGTGGTTCTGATCCGGCATATTTCATCTTATTGAGGTGAAGCTTGAGAAACAGTTATTATACCATGCTACAACCCAAAGTAAATTTGAAAGGCAATGTGGTTAATGTGTCAAATATTATTTACTGACTAATGAAACTTAATTGAAATAATAAAAAAACAACAACTAGCATTTAAAGGAGCAAAAGAAAAGAAAAGCAAGAGCACAACACCCTCACTTAAACCGTTTTTTATATCCTATTTCTACTTTAAGCTCGTCCATTTCTCAGTTAAGTTTCCAAAGTCACATTTCAACTTTAAGTTGGACCAATGATGTCTCTTCGTAAGCCAACAAGACAAAACTCCAGCCAGAGTTTTCATGCTTTTCAATGGAATGTTTGCATTGAAGACAATAAGCACCAAGGTAAACATGGACTGGTGATAAACACACAATTCTTTCTCAATTTGTTTAGCAAAAGCATCTCTACAAATGAACACATATGTAAAGGTCTTTTTTTACCTCACACAGATACCACCGTAAAATCTTAAGATATTTTGAAGCATCAGGGATCTGGTTTGGGAACCCGGTGTTCAAAGAATGTCTGGATTTTAAGACTATAAACCATCATGCTATATTGCCATTTCCTTACATTTATTAATTTATTCTAATTTTTTTTATATTTCTTCACAGCTTACCGTGTGAACATATTCATTACGGCTGAAATTATCCTGTGGCCTTGTGGAGGAGGAGATGGTGATATACCTGCTTATATGAAGGTTTGTTGTTAGAATTCAATGTATTTTAATTTCCTAACAGAAAAATAACCTTTGCTTTGACTTCATGTCAAGCCACCCCAAGGACAGACATATGAGACGGAAGAATGAATCAAAGTGAAATGTAAAGGTGACTGCCAGCCTATTCAAATGCTCCACATAAGGAAAGAAAACACCACAAAAGACATTTCAGCTTGGATCAGTGACTAGATGACCTTTTAGTAACATTATGAAAGTTTGTCTTCCTTTTGCTTTTATTTTCAAATCACAATTATTTCTCCATCATTTATTCATAACTCTGTGTTTGAAAGGATAAATAATGACCTTCCCATTTACACAGCGGGTAGGATTAAGGAGGAGGGGAAGGAAAAATAAATGAACACCGCTTTAGAAAAAGCACAAAGACCTTCCTCAGTTTGATAAAAGAATTTGCTGCTCCAGGAGAATAAAAGAAAAACAAACAGGAGGCAAGTTTTTTTTTTTTTAACACTTTCTTCATGACAGCAAAAGAGGTCAAGAAAATGAATGTGACCCGTTTACATTTGTAAATGTGTCTCACTGTGAATGTGACATTGTGATTGTAGAAGTATATTTATTGTTATCCTTCTTCGTCCTTACAGTCAGTAGTCTGTTTGGGCTACTGTTTGGAGCACCTTTTTGTTCTTCTACTTAATTGTGTTTAATATAATAGAGTTTTTTAAGTACAAGAGGGGCAAGAAAATTAAAGTTTCTTATTATATAAACAGCCTAGGCTCTTAGGAGCAGTGTGATTTTATAGTGCAGTATTGGTCAATCAATGTGGAATACTATCAATCTCTAAATTAAGTTTGCCGTCTATTCATTAAGCGACCGGAAAAGTTTATAATGTTGTCAAAACACCTCTTACGGTAACGCAATCTAATGCAAAGACACCACTATCTACAGCCCTTACTGTGGAGCTACAGTAAAGCAATAGAGTTTCTAGACAGGAGGATTAATACTGGTATATTCAGGCAGTATGAAAAGATTAAGTGTTTTCTGAACATTAAAGCATGAAAAAATGTTCTAGCAGAAACCCAAAAATACAAGTGCTAACCTGAAAATGAGCACGATAGGTCTTCTTTAACCCAGGAATATTCTGTGTGATTGTAATTATGTGCATTGTACAAGTATAGACACAAACCTTTCTGAGGATGTATAGTTTACGCCTAAATTCAGAAGTCTGTTGGCAATGTTGCAGGTTACATCTAGTTCCCAGGTGTATTAAGCCTCCGTGTCCATTCAAGTCACACCGGAGCAAAAACAGTGTACAGCTTCCTTCAGGGAAATACGGGCAAGAGCCTTGTGTCACTATATTGCTAGACAAGTTTTACACTTGAAAGCTTCTTAAAAAACTCCAACGCTTAGCAACAGACCCAGCTGTAATATAGCACAAGAGTGTTTAAGGCCTCCTATCTTGTCCTGTCACTCCCTTTGTCTTTCATCCCTGCTTGGAGCTGCTTTCAGTTTTCTCTTTACTGCATTTGTGGCTCATACATTTCTGTGTGAGCAGAGGCCCACAGTGTCTGTGAAACCTGCTGGGGGGAAGAAAATACAAAAACAAAGAGCAGAGCACAAACAAAAAAGCGGTAGATCAAAAAGAAGTAAATAATCTTACCTGAATCCACTTGTCAGGGATGGCCATAGCCAGTCGGTAGTCAAACCCGAGCCCTCCCTCCTCTACTCCTCTGCAGAGAGCAGGCATTCCCGACACATCCTGCAGAGAAGTCACACTATTTCATATCACATTTTCCCTTTGTGTGCACAACTTTCTTTCCCTGTAGTCAGCCAAGATCACATCAATACCACTCCACAACTCACATATTAAGGGCTGATAATCCTATACCACAGGCCAAAAAAAAGAGTGATACCCCATTTCCTTTTGCATTACCCCTTAATTATACCAATGAATACGCAAGTAAGCTATGCCTGGCTATTAAGTGCTTTTAATTAATAATAGCTGTGGGCAATGTCATTGCAAAGTAAGTGGAAGCTGAAAGGTGTGTTGTGGAGTGTGTGTTTACCTCGGCAACAGTGATGCAGTCAGGATAAAGGGTATGGAGAATGTGATTGGCAAGCATTAGGTAGACCAAAGAGTCCTCGTCCACCTGTAGGCCAAAGTACTCACTGTAGTCCCCTGAGAAGCTAGAGGCTGAGGAGTAAACACCCACACCGTCAACACTCATGTTTTCCCACTAAGAATCTTAAAATCCTCCGTTTCTCAGTAGGTTCAAGGTTCAAGTACTGGTGCCGTTTTACTACACGGCTTTCATTCTGAACAGTATTCGACATGAAGACAAAAGTGGAACGCAAATGCTCATTCAGTTTAGTGCAGACACTTTGACTCATTATCTGATAGCAAGTACATGAGCTACACAGTAAGATGCCACTTTAGAGACTGTAAAGTAGCACCTACCATTACCTGTAGTATATTCAAAGAGATCCATAATAACATATTACACATATCACACACACACTGTGCGACAGCAATTGCAAAGGATCATGTGGATTCTTTCCTGTGCTCTCTGCGTAAGGTTTGTGTAAGTAGTGAACGTTTTTTTTTTTTTTTCAGACACCAAAATCCATTGTGTGCATTCAGAAGGTTGTTGAGTGCATTTCCCCGCTCACAAAACAAACGCAAAGCTAAAGAGAAACAAGCAGTCTTCTTCTATCCCACCTCTCGCTGACACATTACTATGCATCTCAAGGCGCTAACAGTTTATCAAAGCGTGAAATCGTTGCTTGATTTAATTGGCACTCTTTACTGAATAATTGCTAAAAATATACCACTGTACCATTGTAGCATGTAAAATTACACATTTCAGTCAGAAGGTTGACCTCATTTGAAATACTGTAGAGGAACATGTTTTAATCAGGCTCCAGTTACAGTGGCTGTTCTCTCTGTGAGTACTTCACTTTTTAGTGTTTCACTCAACTCAAATTTTTTTATTTTTTTCATCCCAACCCTTTTTAACATGTTCAGGTTTAGACAACAACAACAATTCAATACAATACATTTATTGTTTCATACTGTACTGTGGGTTTCAAAGGAGTGGATGATGACATGCTACACACACACACACACACACACACACACACACACACACACACACACA